TCTATCTATCTATCTATCTATCTATCTATCTATCTATCTATCTATCTATCTATCTATCTATCTCTCATCTACCTACCTACCTTATTATTCTATCTATCTATCTATCTATCTATCTCATCCATCTCTCTCTCTCTCTCTCAAAAGTAGATTAAATATTTCCCTAAACAGAGCACGATTCAGAAGGAAATTTTGTAAATTTGCAGTTTGAAGGCATATAAGAAAAATTGGAGAGAAAAGCATGCAGGGGATATCATTTTTCTTCTCCCTCTCATATATCTGCAAAGGATTTGCCCGCTGGTCTCAGCTAAATGAACCGTGATGTTGTGATACTCTATTCAACCCCGTCACTGTTTTTTTTTATCTCCCCCGTTAACCTTTTTCCCCTCCGTAGATCCCTTCATTCTGCCACATCAACAAGTCGATAAAGGCGCCATTAAATTTGTCCTTAGTGGAGCCAATATCATGTGTCCTGGCCTGACGTCTCCCGGAGCCAAACTTTATCCTGCTGGCGCCGATACGATTGTGGTATCCTTGAGTAGGCCTTGTCTGTGGGTGCCAATTGCTTTCTCAGAATGTGATAGAACGGGGGTTCCCAACCTTTTCTTCACCACAGATCCCCTTAAAATACCTTTTGTGGCCACGGGCGATGACCACGGACCACCAAGACTTAACACCGAGAGCCGTGGTAGCACCGTGGTCGGAAGGCAGGATTGCAGTCTAATTCTGCTGACCCTCTAAGCGGTTTACAGAGTCAGCCTATTGCTGCCAACAATCTGGGGTCCTCAGTTAATGACCTTGGAAGGATGGAAGGCCGAGTCAACTCCCTCTCCCTTGTTCTACCTCTCCCCTGCTCTGCCCAGCCAGACTTTGCCCTTCCCCAGTTTCTCCCACAGCCAACGGAGCCACGCTCTCACTCCCTGTCAGCTGCTCGGCCTCCTCCTCCAAATCAGATTCCGACAAGGACATGACAGACTGCTTCTTCAGTAGTTTTACTTACTCCTGGTATGATTTTAAATGACTACAAAAAAGGTTATTTTCCTTAGCAGACTTTTAACAGGCAATAATGGCGGAAGGAAAGCAACACGCACTATGCATTGGGGTCATGAAGATGGCGGCAGACGATATGTGAGTCTTATGTTTCAAAAGGAAAACCGTACCGTTCTTTAACTTGGCTCTCCTAGATCCAACTAGTGGTTACACACTGCAAGACGTCTAAACTGCCTTCCAATTTTTGTAGATGGCGTGTTTTCTAAACAGTTCAAATAAGTAACAAGGGTTTATCTGTCGAAGTTGGCCAGCAGTCAAAAAATGTTTATTTGCTATAAGGAATTGCCTTACCAAATGTATTTTGATTCCAACTTTCTTCTTAAGAACGTAAGGAAACAGCCGTTTTCTTTCAACTCATTTTATTCTCCCAATTGGTCTGTCGAGATTCTGGGTCATTTTTTGTTCCCCCAAGAGGCAACTGGACTTTCTGGTTTTTCTTTGAAGAGGTTCAGCTTCTCTCAGAAGCTGCTTCTGTTCTCAGAGCCGAAGAAGCTCCTTGGATGAGAAGCGAAACCTCTTCAAAGAAAAAAAAACCAGAAAGTCCAGTTGCATCATGGAAAAAAAGCGCCTTTGGGACCATCCACCCAGTCATTTTCTAAATTTGGTGAGAGGAATGTGAAGACTTGAAGCCTTTTGATCCTTTCTCCTGCCTTTGTGAGCTTTTGAAAGTGCAAGAGATAAGATGTGACTGGAGGCCATTATTAAACCTTCCCTCTTCCTCTCTTTCAGTATTTGCATATAGTTTTAAAAAGGCCGAAAACAAGCCCAGGATTTTTCTAACTTCAAGAGTTAATGTACTGAAGAAAAAAAAAGGCAAAAAGGCTTCTCCATTCAGCTTTCAGCTGCTTGGTTATAAATACAGATAGTCCTCGGCTTAGGGCGACAATCGAGCCCCCAAATTTACATTGTTAAGTGAGGAAGGTGAGACGATTCTTAAGTCTCTTTTGCCCCATTGTCCAAACTGTTCTTGCCATGTTCGTTAAGTGAATCACAGCGGTCGTTAGTAACACGATCGTTAAGCCGAATCGGATTTCTCCTTTGATTTTGTTTGTCCGAAGGTTACAAAAGGGGATCATGTGACAACCCCCCCCCCCCCCGAAACACTGCGACCATCATAAATATGAGTCAGTTGTCCAGCATCCAAATGCAAATCACGTCACTTTTTTCCCAGGGCTCTTGTGACTTCGAACGTCCACAAAACGAAACTTTTAAGTCCAGGACTAGCTGTTAGGGCCGTGATGGCGAACCTTTTTTGTTGTGGTGTGCTGAAAGCGTGCTTGTGCTGGCACCCACAATGCAAGGCGCCCCACCCCATCCCCACCTGCGCATGCACGCACAACACCCTCACCACGCCTCCTTACCAGCTCTGCATGCATGCATGCACCTCCCAGCTGATTTTTGGCCTGTTTGAGGCCATTTTCGCCCTCCCAGAGGCTCGAGGGAAGTCTCTGCAGCCTCGGGAGGCCGAAAAACAGGCCCATTTCAATACTTCGTGTATTTCCAGAAGGCCCGTTTTTTGGCCTCTGGAGGCAGTTTTAACCTGCCTGGAGGCTCAAGGGAGGCTGAAAACGGGCCTGTTTGGCACTTTGGGTATTTCCGGAAGGCCTGTTTTTTGGCCTCCTGAGGCTTCTTTCGAGCCTCCAGGAGGGCGAAAACTGCCTCAAATAGTCCGAAAATCAGCCGGGAGGTGCGCACGTGCACAGTGCAGGTAAATTTGGCTAAGGCCCACACAAATGGCTCTCCATGCCACCTATGGCATGTGTGCCATAGGTTCGCCATCAGGGTGTTAGGGGGTAGCGTCTGCTCATTTGCACTTCACCCAGAGCTGGGAAGACTAAACTTTCCTTTTCCACCTCTCCTCCCCCAGAGAGAAAGTCAACAAAGGGATCGGCATTGAAAATATTCACTATTTAAATGACGGCCTTTGGCATATGAAGACGTACAAGTGAAAAACCAGCGGGAAGTATGCGGCTTGCTCCTGGCCAGCGTGGACTACTCTGTAATTCTGTTTTTAAATGTGCACCTGAATGTACAAATTTATATTGTTCTGTGGCTAATGCTCAATAAATCAAGTGAATGCTGAAGGTCCCGTTAAGCTTTTAAAAATTAAAATACGTTGCTTTAAGCGATTGTGAAGCCGAGAAGGAAAAGCCAAGAGATTTTAGGATTAAAAAAAGTTCTCTCTTCCCTTTCTTCCGGTGCGATGGCCATCGGGGTGCCATGCTGTGCTAAAAGACGACGCAGGATGCCCCCCCGTTGCAAAAATAGATTTAATTTACAGTAGATTCATCTTGATTTTAAATATTTACATACCCGCTACGCAATTTGTCGGCAAAAAGAAATCTTCGGAAGTGTTCTTTTTAATGTTTCCCCTCCTCCCCTCCAGGTGACATTCACAGGTGTATAAAAAGGGCTTGTCGGTTTTAAAAAACGGGGAAACCTTCTCCCCCCCCCCTTTTGCAAAGATTACAAAACCAGATGCCAATGCTAATCAAATTCAGATTTGGAACTTGCCCTCAATACATGCTGCTTGCTGATGGACGCTACACCTGATGACGTGTGTGGCGGGGGCCGCCTTTCCCCGCGGCCCTCGTCAGTCGTTATCGGAGTCCGGCGGAGGGAGGAAAGTTAAGGCATCGTTGAAAGTGTGGCCGTACGCTCGGAGCCTGTAGACCCCGTACATCATGACATGCATGTGGTTCGGCGACAGGCCACTGAACGTGATGGCCATATCCGAGCAGCAGCCTTCCACCACCTCCCGCGGGCTGTTCGCCATGGCTTCCTTGATGAGGGCGCCCACCGACTTGGTGTTGAAAATGTCCTTCTTCCCCGCATCTTCGGCGTTTTCGGCATGGACCCCGCCGTACTTCAAGCACAAAGCCAGCTGTTTATCTTCGGAAAGTTTCCAAATCATGCCTCCGTGTTCCGGGCACTTATCTGGGTCTTGGAAAATCCGGTAGAGGCGCCGCAAGGATTCCACGCTTAGGACGATCCCGCCAGCTCCGTTCACGTACTGCAGGTCGCCCGAGGATTCGGTCCGGCCCGTGTAGAACGGCTGGCTGGCGTCTTGCTTCAGCAGGAAGTACTTGAGGTTTTCTACGATGGCGAACGTCGTAGGGTAGGCGAGGAAGTACCAGTTGTAGCCGTCGCGGTAATTCTCGTAGGTGTATTTGTAGGCCTGGCGCATCATTGTCCACATGTCGTCCGTGTTCAGCACGATGGAGTCGAAGACTTTGACGTTTTCGGAGCTGTAGAACTCGGCTTTGTCGCAGTGTTTGCTCCAGGTTTCCTTCACGGCGGCCCAGTGTCCCAGATCCTTTGGTTTGACCAGGATTATGCAGTAGACCCGGAGGCTCTGGGTCAGCTCCAAGCGCTTCTCTTTGGAGAGGTTGAGAATGTCCTCTTTCTTGGGAGCTTGGAGGTGTCGGTGGTCGTGAGACTTCGTAGTAGTGTGGCCCGTTCTAATGTGTCCCAGAAGGGTCACCAGGACGCAGCAAATCCCTCCAAGTAACATGCCCTTTACGAAGGAGCCACTTTCGGGAAACATGATTTCTATATATTATACAGAGCAGGGAAAAAAAATACAGGGTTATTGAGCGAAGATTCAACAGGTTGCTCATCTGAGGGCATGCCAAAGACGCTTTTTCCAAGAGGCCACTGGTCTTTCTTGGTTTTTCTTGGAAGATGTTTCGCTTCTCCTCCGAGAAGCTTCTTCAGCTCTGACTGAATGGTGGGGAATGGAAGGGTTGCAGGCAGCTTGGTCATTTGCATCCTTTTAAGAGTCGTTGAGGCCACCCCAGACCCATTTGCGCTACTTGGGTGACACAGATAAACATCCAAGTGGCCTCAACGGCCCTCTAATAGGATGCAAATGACCAGCTGTCTGCAAGGCGTATCAATCCTTCCATTCCCCAACAACCAGAAAATCCAGTTGCCTCTTGAAAAAAAAAAGCACCTTTGGGACAACCAGGACGTGGATGACTGAGAATCTGAAAACTACAAGTAGTCCTCAACTTAGGACCACAATGAGCTCAAAACTTTTATTGCCAAGCGAGTTAATTTTCTTCCATTTTATGATCTTGCTGCAGTTGTTAAAGTCAATCACTGTGGCAGTTAAGTTACTAACACCGTTGTTTGAGTGGATCTGGCTTCCTCGGTCACAAATGGTGATGACATGATCCCTGGGACATTGCAACCATCATAAATACGAGTGGGGGATGCTGCCAGACTCGTAAGCGTGAAGAAGAATCGTCAGTCACTTTTTTCAATGCCATTTTGACTTCCAACAGTCCCTAAACAAACTGTTGTAAATCAAAGACTAACCTGTATAATTTCTGAAGACAAGTAGTGGTATGCGTTTACACAGCACACTAAACTACAATTTTGTAAACCCAGGCCTAAAAGTATAACTTTGAACGAATACTAAACAAACTCTTGTTGAGGACTACCTGTATAAATTTCTGAACACCACAAGCAGTGGTCTGGCTAAAGCTACAAGTTTGTAAACCCAGGCCTAAAATTTTGAATTCATTTATAAATCATGGTTCAGAGAACATCATTACAGGTAAGCGGACTCTGTAAATAGAGCCAAAGTAGATTTATTGCAGCATATGGCAGGGACAACAAGGGAAGGATTTGTATCATCCCAAGGCAAAACTGAACAAGGTAAATATTTCCTTGATCAGACTGAAATGCACCGGATGTGTAAAACACACTATGACTCTACTCGCAGAACAAACTTGGCCCAAAGCAAACGCGTATGTATATGTTCAAGCACATTATGTGAACTAGAATGGGGGGAATTCAGGAGAAAAAAAATGTCATTTTCAATGCAGAACACTGGTGGAGAAAAAAATGATTTTAAAGGCAGCTTAAAGAAGGCCAAAAATTCTTTAAACACACTTGATCCCCGATCTCTAATACACCCACTAGAAATATGAAATAATTTCTGTTCGTAGTAAGCCAAACTTGTTAATATAGCCTAAAATCAGCAAATGGTGGTTGGCGTTAAACAAGCAGCCCCTTTGCAAAATTTTTTTGATAAATCATGGTTTCAGAGTGGTTTATTTGACCAAAGTCCTGAAAACTAGGCTTGTTTCAGCCACCAATCAGCCAGAAGGGAATTTTAAACTGCTATCAATCAAATAAGTTACTATTTGTCAATGCAGGCAAGTTCAAGAAGTGTGAACTTCAACTCCCAGAATCCTCTAGCCAGCAATGCTGGATGGAGAATTCTGGGAATTGAAGTTGACACATCTTAAAGGTTGCTAAAGTTGAAAAACAGGGTGTTCCTTTTCTTTTTTTCCCCCTTCATTCTTAGCAGGGAAAGAGGCCAGAAAGAGCTTCACTTTGTAAAAACAGGCTCTGATTCAAAGGCCTGGGAAATTTTAAAAACTGGGAAATTTGAGTTTTTTGGTTTGAAGCTACATTCCCATCATCTCTCTAATTTAGGAATACAGGTAGTCCTCGGCTTATGACCACAGCTGAGCTCCACATTTCTGTTTAAGGGAGACATTTCAATGTGTTTCACCCCATTTTATGACCTGTCCCGTTAAGTGAAACCCTTTGGTCATTAAGTTCAGCAACTCGGTTGTTAAGTGAATCTGGCTTCCTCACTGACTTTGCTTGCCAGAAGGCTGCAAAAGGGGATCATGTAACCCTTGGACTCTGCGACCGTCGTAAGTATGAACTGGTGGCCCAGTGTCTGTTGATCACGCAACCACGGGGAGGCTGTAAAGCGTGGAAAAATGCCCTCCCCCGCCATCCCTTGGAACGGCCACTAAGTGGAATGGTTGCAAGTCGAGGACTGACCCGTCACAGTTTTCCAAACCAAGATAATTGGTGATTTCTTTTAACAAACCAAATTCAATCAATTACTAATTTTAAATAATTTTAAATAAATGACTTCCGAAGCTGCCCAAGGTGATGCAGGCTGAGCAAAGAAATATTCTTTTTTGGGGGGTGGGGTGGGGGTATCCACTCCTAGCTTTTCCTCCCAAAAAAATCTCCCCCCAAAAGGCTTTTGACCCTGTAGATGGGGAAGCGAAGTAGAGCCTCCAGGTGCCCAGGCAATCTATCTGAACCCCACAGATGGCAGTGGGGAGGGGGGGAAAGCTCAGGGGAGACGGGGCTGCAGAGACCAGCAGAGCTGGGGAGGGGTCGAGGCAAAGAGGTACAGCAGCCCCCCACCCCACCCCACCCACCTCCCCTAATCCGGAGTGGAACCCCCCGCCACCAACTCACCTCTCTGCCAGCAAGAGAAATCCGGATCTACTTCCGCTCCCTCTCTTTGCTCTCTATGGCGGAACCGCCCTCTCCTTTTGGACACGCCTCCTCCCGGAAGGCGGGGCAAGGGAGAGACAGAAGTGGGTAAGCGTCACTTAGGCCACGCCTCCTTCTCGAGGGCGGGGCGGGGGGAGTGAGAGAGAGAGAGAGGGAGAGAGAGAGAGAGAGAGAGAGTGTAACCGTCACTCTTGGCCACGCCTCTTGCTCGGGGATGAGGCAGGGGAGAGACAGAAGCGTAAGCGTCACTTTGGCCACGCCTACCGCTGGCGGGCGGGGCAGAAGAGACAGAAACGTAGCATCTCTTCTGGCCACGCCTCCTCGGGGTAGGGAGAGGATGAAGCTTCTGAGGATCAAAGAGAAAAAACAAGGGAGCTGCAGCTAACACTTCCGGCACTCACTCGACCGCAGCAGTACCTATCTCTGTCTCCCCTTCCTAAAGGGGTTCTATGAGGTGGTTTACGGTTGGAAGAAAAATGCTGGCCCAGGCAGCTTGGCAGGTCGGCGGGGATTTGAACTCGGGGCCTCCGCCCTTTGTTGTTCCAGATATTCCTAAACGCAACGTCGAGAAGGAGTCATTTCCCCTGCACTTGCATAGGTGACAGTCCATTGATCATCGGAAGAGGATGTACAATTATTTAGATTTGGTTGCCCTTAGGAATAATATTCTCTCTCTCTCTCTCTCTCTCTCTCTCTCTCTCTCTCACACACACACACACACACACACACACACAGAGAGAGAGAGAGAGAGAGAGAGAGAGAGAGAGAGAGAGACGAAATTTCACTTTAATGAATAATAATA